AGCCAAGTAGGTGGATAACAAGTCTGGGAGAATTTATCTTCTGGGTGGATTCCTCAACTTGGAAGTGAAGAAAGACAAAGATAGTTTAAACAATGGCTGCTTTTGACAGATCCAGAAATCACTGACTTTTTCCCAGTATTGGTGATTTCACACAAGAAAACATGGAGAAGAGTATGTTAAGAAATAAAAGTTTGAGCCAGAAAGCAAAGAGCAAATGAAACGAAGGAAGGCACCAAATTTTGGCCAAAGTTTCAGGCCAAAGTGTGGTAAAAAGGAAAGGAACTAACTTAACAATCAGATTAAGTTGCTAAAAACTCAGCTGAGCCTTTCTGAAAAGATGGGGGGAAACTATAGAGGGAAAGGAAACACCAGAAGTATATTATACTCCTGCAGAAAAAAATGTATACAGGTCTTTGAGAGCACAAGGTTGAGGTGTTAGCCCCAGAACTCTGGAGGCAAAGTCTTCTGAAATAACTACAGCCCCTTCTGTTCAGGAATCTGTGGAGGGTGATGTTCTAACTGAAACAATGTAGGCAGGAGGAAGAAGTCTTCCCCTAGACTGAGCAGGCCTTAACCTTTTTACTGTGCCTGTATATCAGAATCACTTGAGAGTTAAGAAAATAATAATAAATCCTGGTACCCAGGCTGTACCCAAGACCAGTGAGATCAGAATCACTGGGGTTAGGACCCAGGTATCAGTATTTTTTAAGGCTTCTCTGCTGAGTCCAATATGCAGCCAAGGTTGAAAACCGCTTAAGGGCAGTTTCACAGGCCAGGGACTTCCTTAGCAGGAGGCAGGGACAGCCAGCCACTGAGGTACAGGACTAAAAATACTAGCTCCAAAGAAGTTGAGGAGGTAGAATCACTAAAGAAACCAACTTCATTTCAGCACTGGGGTGCTTAAAAGGGAAAGAGAAATTAAGTTTTTCAAATATGCTAGATGGGAAAGAAAGGAACTTCAAATAAAACTAGTGACTAGGGCTTCCACTGTTTCAAATTGCTGAACAAGAAGGCTGGATTGTTGCAAGTGCTACTCTCAGGATAACTAAGCATAGGTGTATTTACCCCTCTCTATGATACTAAGAGTATTCTTTCATTGGGAGATTATTCTCTTACTGGGAAGTTTTGTCCAAATTTAAGTTCACAGATCCTGATGAAGCTGCAACATGGATTTTTCAGCATTTCTTCTTTCCTTCTGCTATAGTCTTTGGCTGACAGCAGTAATATGAGTCTAAGTTGTACTGAATATTGGGTTATAGCAACATATTTTTTGCCTGGGATGCTTTGGGGGTTGTCTTGGGCTTTTTTGTTTGTTTAATATTGAGATGGCTGAAAGAAGATAGAAGTGTTCTTTTTATTATTTTCCTCTGGGGAATGAAAAGGAAATGCTGTTCCTTTTATAGAAACATTAGGAATGGGACAAAATTATCACCCTCCAATATTAATGTCTACACAGAGACTATACCTGTTTTCCCCAAAATAAATCCTTCTATTCCCTTCACCAGAGCTGTGTAGTTTAAGAAAATATTTTCAGCCTAGAATTTTAATGCTCATACTCATTAACATGGTTTGAAAAATTATATCCTTCCTTGACTCATTGTAAAACTATCTCTGGTAAAAAGGGCAAATGTGTGGCAGTGCTGCTTTTTTTTTTTTTGTCTTTTGTCTTTTTCCGTGTCCGGCACGGGGTTTTGTCTTTTGTCTTTTGTCTTTTTCCGTGTCCGGCACGGGGACCGGCAACGGGATTGCAACCCTTGGCGTTGCTCCCGCGCCTCGCTCAGCCAGTGAGCGGGAACCGGTCTGTATGTGGGATCCGAACCCTCGGGCGGGAGCGCCGCCGCGCTTCCCAAGCGGTGCTGCTTTTAAAGGGGAGTGTCGTTTGAGATTTTTGACCTGCTAGGTCAGAATTTCTTTTACCTTAATCTTTACCAAGGAAACACAACTTGAGCTTTCCAAGTATCATGTGAAATTTACATAATGTTACATGTAAAGTGGTAATATAAGAAACCTTTTACATGGTTACTTGTCAGTCATATGATGATGGAAATAGATGCTGTGGGAGAAGAAAGTTTCTGTCCACAGGAACTTTCACTCCAATTGAGGACACAACATCACATGTAAATTGGAAGGGAGCTAAAATCTAATAGAGCTGTTTTTCTTTTTTTTTTTCTTTTTTTTTTTTAAAAGATGATCGGTAAGGGGATCTTAATCCTTGACTTGGTGTTGTCAGCACCACGCTCACCCAGTGAGCAAACCGGCCATCCCTATATGGGATCCGAACCCGTGGCCTTGGTGTTATCAGCACCACACTCTCCCAAGTGAGCCACAGGCCAGCCCTAGAGCTGTTTTTCAACACCACGCTCTAACCAGTTGACAATTTCTTTTTTATTTATTTTTTTGGTGGCTGGCTGGTAACAAGGATCGAACCCCGGACCTTGGTGTTATCAACATCATGCTCTAACCAACTAAGCTAACTGGCCAGTAGGTAGATTGTTTAGTAGGTAGATCATCAGGCAGGTAAAGCTTCTCTAAAACTTTTTAACTTCAGGGCCGGCCCAGCACTCCCTTCGAGGGTTCGGATCCCACTTACAGACCGGCCGCTCACTGGCTGAGCAAGGTGCGGGAGCAACACCGAGGGTTGCGATCCCGATGCCGGTCCTGGTCCGGTACGGGCGCGACACTGAGGGTTGCGATCCGTTGCCGGTCACGAAAAAAGACAAAAAGGAAAAAAAATAAATAAATAAAATAAAACTTTTTAACTTCTAGAATGAAGAAAAGTTGACCCCAGTAGTATTTTCTGCAGTTGAGCTATCCCCTCCCCCAAATTATGTGTAAATTTTTTTTTAAAACAATATTTTCATTTAAGAGAGCTTACTTTAAAGGACTGCAAATAAATCCTTTGCTTAAAAGAATAATCACTTTAAATCATTAGTAAATATAGAATTTCATGCTTTTATGTTTAAACAAACCTTGGCTTGAGAGTCTGAGGTGTATATTCACTTAAAAGTATGAACTGTTAATTGTAATTTTACCTGACTTTTAAAGGCATTACTATTTCTTGAGAGTTATAGGGTATGAAGCCATATAATACTTACACCAGTGATCCTGAGACTTAGGACTGTTTGAACCTTGTATTGTGGTTTCTTACTGCTTTACCTTTTCCTTTCCCTGTACTTAGTATAACATTACTTCTGGGTAGTAGCAAGAATAACATTATCCTTCTATAGCATTCCAAATTGCCTTTTAAGGATTTTTTGTTTGTTTGTTTGTTTGTTTGTTTAAGAGCTTGTTGGATAAATAGTAAATGTTTGACAGTCAGATAATAAAATAAACGGGACTGTGTTATTTTTTTTTATTTTCATTTTTTTAAAGATGACTGGGAAGGGGATCTTAACCCTGACTTGTTGTCAGAACCACGCTCTCCCAAGTGAGCTAACCGGCCATCCCTACATAGGGATCCAAACCCGTGGCCTTGGTGTTATCAGCACCACACTCCCCCAGGTGAGCCACAGGCTGGCCTGGGACTGTGATATTATTAGATGCTTCCATTTTAACTGCAGGTTGATCATCCCAAATCTGAAAATCCAAAATGCTCCAAAATCTGAAATTTTTTGAGCACTGACATGATTCTTAAAGGAGATGCTCATTGGAGCATTCTGAATTTTGAATTTGCAGATTTGGGATGCTCAGCCAGTGAGTACAATGCAAATATTCCAAAATCCAAAAAATTCTGAAAGGGATACTCAACCTGTAATAATACCTCAGCTATCTGGAATTCCATTATCTATAACATTATCAAGAATTAAGAATTAAGAATTAAGACAAGGGGCAAAAACCTGTTGGTTCCAAACACCTTTACTTTTATATTTAAAGCATGGGAAAATGCCTTTGGCCCTCTCTGAAAATTTATTCTTTTATATTTACTTCTAACAAATTTGGTTATCAGGTTTCTGAGACCTCAATGAAAAGAAGACAGGTTGCTACAGATAGGTGTAGTGATGGTGGCTCACAGAGAGGGAAGAGATGAGAAAAAACCCTGAAAAGCAATACGTTAGTTCTGGGACATTTAGTGGAGTGGCTAATAGCCCTTATACCTTGGGAAGTTGTCATGATTATCATTATTGAAAACAATGTTTAGTATTTTCAGATTGAGAACGTAGAATAACTGCTGTTTAAAAAGTACTTAACTTGGGCTGGCCAGTTAGCTTAATTGTTAGAGTGTGGTGTTATAATAGCAAGGCCAAGGGTTTGGGTCCCCATACCTGCCAGCCAAAATTAATATATTCTTTATAAAGAATTTGGAAAGTAGAGAAAAGCTCAAAGGAGAAAATAAATTACACATAATACATTAAAATCTAGAGAGAGTTTCAGTTGGCATCTTGATGTTTTCTCAGTCATTTAAAAAAATTATATATACCATAGTATATTATATCCAACTACAAATGAGAGAACTGAGTTTTAATGAAATTAAGTAAATTGAATTTATGTTCTTTCTGCTAAACCATAGCTGGGGAAATCTGCCTCAGCCTATAGAACTGTGGTGTCTAGTACAGTAGCCACCAGTCTAAGGTTGCCAGATAAAATACAGGGTGCCAGGAAATTTGAATTTCAGATTTTAAAAATGAGCAATTTTTTAGTATAAGCATATCCCAAATATTTCACAGGACATATTTCAAGCCAGTCTTTTTTTTCCTATGCATGTGTACATGTATCTTTGTGTGTTTGGGTGGTTATATTTTTTGTTATTTATTTTACGAAATTTGGATCATGTATCTTTTTTCCTTTTGTTTAACAAGATATCATGAATACCTCCAACACCAAATATTCTTCCGAAATTCCAGAAAATTATTTCTTTCCAAATAGCTTGAAATTTTGATGCCCAAAGAAATAATCTCCAAGATATTTAGGGTAAATTTACCTTTCCAGAATGACATTCCCTGAGGATCCCAAGGAATTCAGATTGCAGTTAGCTTTAAACTGGTACTTGTGTTCCTTTTCAGGCAGGAGCCACGTCGATGTGGGCTTCGTGCTGTGGGCTGCTGAATGAAGTCATGGGAACCGGAGCTGTCAGGGGCCAGCAGTCAGGATTTGCAGGAGGTCCATTCAGATTTACACCAAACCCTGATTTTTCTACCTATCCACCAGCCGCTACGGAAGGGCCTAATATAGTTTGCAAAGCCTGTGGACTTTCATTTTCAGTCTTTAGAAAGAAGGTGAGTTGTATGAAATGTTACAACATTTCATATTTATCAGAATTCTTGATTACAGGTTATTTTAAGTAGCTAATGAATCTTTATTTCTTTTTATAAAAATATCTACAGTTTAGTCTCATTAACCGTTTCCTATTTATGAAAATACTCAGTTGAAGGGATTGTATTATGGCTCAAGTTTTCTGAGTAGACATTGTTACTTCTCATGTTTTTTTTGTTTTTGTTTTTTTGTGACCAGTAAGGGGATCGCAACCCTTGGCTTGGTGTCACCCGCACCGCGCTCAGCCAGTGAGTGCACCGGTCATGCTTATATAGGATCCGAACCTGCGGCTACTGCGCTCCCAAGCGCCGCACTCTCCTGAGTGTGCCACGGGGCCGGCGTTACTTCTCATGTTGTTCAGGCATCCTTTCTCCTGAACTCTGACCTGTTCGTACCATTTGATTCTTCCTGACGCTGCTTTGTTTTTTGAAGCAAGAGATTTAGTCTGCAGTTTTGTTCAGAGATGATTTACTGTAACTGTGATCTCAGGTTTCAATAAATTTGTCTCTAACCATATTCTTAACTCTCAAATGAAGAAATAAATATAACAAGATAACTACTGATTAGAGATTTAGCATAAAATACTTAGGCTAAAACAGTTTTTTTCCCCCACTAGGACAGAAAGTCTTTCTGAGAATTATCATATTGCTAGGCCATCTTGCAGTCTTTGTTCATCAATTCAGTTCTTTGAATAAAAAAGTGCTAACTTGTGAAATCAATGCACCAAGCAGCAATGACCACATCTTAGTGTCCTCTTTAAGCTTCTCTAGTGGAATGGCTTTCATTGTGATTAAGGCTGTGTAGTTGAAAGATGACTGTCTTAGCGGTGTTCCCTAGTTTCTTAGATTGACCTTGAGAGATCAGTTGCTTTTCTCTTTCCCTCCTTGTGTTATGCTTTTTTTCTTTTCCTCTTTAAATAGGGGAAATTTTCCATGTAGCAAAAGACCCGGAAGAGAGTTTCTGGTTGTGCTTTCTGCTCCACGTGGTTTAAGTCAGCACTGCTCTGCTAATTACATGTTTGCACCAAGGGGTGGAAAGGTTTTAATTCATTAACACGAGAGTATATGTTTTTCCTAAAGTGCTAAATTTGAACTTTGGTGAATCCAAACTGCCTTGGCAGTGACTATTTTGATTTTCATGGCTTTTAGAACACTAAAATTCCTATGAAAATAGTATGGTGCCATGGTGGACTTCATAAGTAAAATTAAATTATTTTTTTTTTCCTTTTTGTCTTTTTTCGTGTCCGGCAACGGACCGCAACCCTCAGTGTCGCGCCCGTACCGGACCAGACCGGCAACGGGATCGCAACCCTCAGCGTCGCACCCACCCCTCGCTCAGCCAGTGAGCGGGAACCGGTCTGTATGTGGGATCCGAACCCTTGGCGGGAGCGCCGCTGCGCTCCCAAGTGGCGCACTGTAGCAGTGCGCCACCGGGCCGGCCCAGTAAAATTAAATTTTAATAGAAGGCAAAAAGAAAACTAGTGTTTTCTTGTTTTTGGCAGCTGGCCGAAAAACTAGGGTTTTCATAATGGCCTATCTCTTGCTATCATTAAATGCTTCTTTTCTGTTTTTTTTTTAGCATGTATGCAGTGACTGCAAGAAGGATTTTTGTTCCATTTGCTCAGTCTTACAAGAAAATCTCCGTAGATGTTCTACTTGTCACTTATTACAAGAGACAGCTTTTCAGCGCCCTCAGTTAATGCGACTGAAAGTGAAAGATCTACGGCAGTATCTCCTTCTTAGAAACATTCCGATAGACACTTGTCGGGAGAAAGAAGATTTGGTAGATCTAGTACTGTGTCATCACGGACTAGGCTCTGAGGATGACATGGACACAAGCAGTCTGAATTCCTCAAGGTCCCAGACTTCCAGCTTTTTTACACATTCATTTTTTTCAGACTATACAGCCCCCTCTGCTACTGTGTCTTCATTTCAAGGAGAGCTTCTGGATGGAGATCAGACCTCCAGATCTGGAGTGCTGGCACAGGTATGAGGGTGTAATTAATTACACTGAGGGCCTAGCACGCTTACTCTTGGCCATATATGGTGGGGCCTTTAGCGCTTGATGACTTCAGATGGATTAGGAGTCACATGCCGGAGCAGAGGTTCCACACCCGACTGAACTCTGTTCTTGCAGGCTCTCCTGTTGTGTAGTTTCAGTGTTTAGGGGCTATGTGGCCCCAAAGTCTGCTGTCCGAAGGGTCCAAAAATAGCTCATAATCTCTTGACCGTAGTCAGGACCTACCTCAGTTTCCCCATCTTATATAAATACTAAGTGTTAAAATAATACTGTGAAAAGGATAGCATATACACATTTGCAGGACTATTTGTACAAATGTCAGTGACCATAAAAACAATCAGTAGGGGCCGGCCTGGTGGCGCACTGCTACAGTGCGCCGCTTGGGAGCGCAACGGCGCTCCCGCCGAGGGTTCGGATCCCACATGCAGACCAGCCGCTCACTGGCTGAGCGAGGTGCGGGCGCGGCGCTGAGGGTTGCGATTCCGTTGCCGGTCCCGGTCCGGGCGCGACACTGAGGGTTGCAATCTGTTGCCGGTCACGAAAAAAGACAAAAAGAAAAAAAAAAAAAAAAACAATCAGTAGTGTAAGTTAACCTAATGCCCAGTTGCCTTGCTACAGTGAAATTGTTCTAATTTAGATAACGAGACACCTGAATTAGTGAAAAAATGTAGTTATTTACTAATTGTAATTTAGAATATTGTCTCAGTGAGGTCCTTGGGGATCCTAACTGAATAACATGCAAGGGCTTGTAATTAATATTCACTTGTATATGAGTGATTCTAAAATACCAAAAGAATTGTTTTGAACAACTTTCTCCACATTTAA